TTTAAGTCTAATATCCCAGTCTTGGGATGCAGAACATACAATGCTCTATTATACATGTATATGCTTGGACAGGTAGTCTCAATTTAAAGGAATACAGTGGTACCTCGGGTTACATACGCTTTAGGTTACAGACTCCGCTAACCCAGAAATAGTACCTCGGGTTAAGAACTTTGCTTCAGGATGAGAACAGAAATTGTGCTCCGGCAGCACAGCAGCAGTGGGAGGCCCCATTAGCTAAAGTGGTGCTTCAGGTTAAGAACAGTTTCAGGTTAAGAACGGACCTCCGGAACGAATTAAGTACGTAACCAGAGGTACCACTGTATATGTGCATTTTGAGCACACAGCATGAAATGGAAGCTTTCATGGTGTAGTGAGGACTGGAGTATGCATTTCTCTAGAACAGATCCCTTCTCACAGGCCAAGCATTCCAGGACTAAGATCTGACTAGTGGTAGTAGTAGTGGCAGTAGTAACAGGATTAAGAATAAAGGGCTGACCTCTCAGCAAGGAATGAGTGAAAGCAGATATCATACAGGCCCCAGCATGAGCTGCTCCTCCTGCTCTGCCCTCTGAATGAAACAGAAGTAAAAAAGAGACTTCAGATAATTTAAACTGGAAACGATAATAATTTTTGAAGAGAGTTGAAATTAGCTTTCCTTATGTGTGTGCTTCTTCTGTTTTGCTGGTCAAACATGTTTGGCAGGTTTTTAGTCAATACAGAAACCTGTTTACCAGAGGTCAAAATGGAATGAGTAGTTGTCTTATTTCCAAACCAATTTTTGCTCTCCAGTCCCAGTAAATTCCATCCATTTCCTCTAGACTTCCTGCAAACACAATGAAGATTGTAGGATGTTTGAATGAACACACAAACATTGCTTGCAAAATAATGCAGCATAAGACCATGAGCTGAAGTAGGAAGGAGATAAAGGTAAAGGTAATGGTACCCCTGCCCGTACGGGCCAGTCTTGACAGACTCTAGGGTTGTGCGCCCATCTCACTCTATAGGCCGGGGGCCAGCGCTGTCCGGAGACACTTCCGGGTCACGTGGCCAGCGTGACACCGCTGCTCTGGCGAGCCAGAGCCGCACACGGAAACGCCGTTTACCTTCCCGCTAGTAAGCGGTCCCTATTTATCTACTTGCACCCAGGGGGTGCTTTCGAACTGCTAGGTTGGCAGGCGCTGGGACCGAGCAACGGGAGCGCATCCCGCCGCGGGGATTCGAACCGCCAACCTTTCGATCGGCAAGCCCTAGGCGCTGAGGCTTTTACCCACAGTGCCACCCGCGTCCCTGTAAGAAGGAGATACTGTGCAGCAAACTGCAGCCACAAAGTGCCCCTGACACAAATGATTCAATCTCTTTTGCATTTATAAATACATTGTGGAGTAAGAAATCTTTGGCGATCACTCGTAGCTGAGTAAGATAGTCTTCCATAAACACAGTTTTAACAATGAGTCCGTAAGTGACTGTCGAGGCCAATTCTGGATCCATACACCCTTCCACAGTGGGGACATTGGTTTCCAGGTGGGAGTTGATCACGGTGTGGATTTGCCAAGCATGCCTTCCTCTTAGCACGTTTCTCCCTTGCATCCTGAGTTTGAGTGTCTTCAAAGCCCATGACACCTTTGGTAAAGGCTGTTCTCCAACTGGAGCGCTCGTAGGCCAGTGTTTCCCACTTGTCAGTGTTTATACTACATTTTTTTAGATTTACCTCAAGACAGTCTTTAAACCTCTTTTGTTGACCAGGAGTCAGAAATATGCTGTATTTGACCAGTACAACAGTGCACTGGCTTGAGTAACTTCTCAGAAAATGTGATATTCTTGTACCAAAAGCACTACCTGTGCAAAAAGCATGAGGGATGATAGTGGAAACGGCCCTGAATTAAGCTGCATGGTAAGTGTATCCAGTTGTGACAAAATCCATTTATAAATCAGCATTCAGTATGTGAAATATTTGTGAAAGGACCCTATGAGAATTAGCACCCTCTGAGATAAGTCTTTGGTTGCATCTTAATGCTGGGATCCATACCTGCCGTTTACTCCCTCCCACTATCTGATGGTTGGGTGTGTGCTTAACAGCTCCTGTGTGTAAGCAAAAAGAGCAGCATTTCCTTCTTCAGTTTCTCCCTGATCAGGTATGGGAATGTTTGTCTAGCAGACAAAGGCAACATATTATGCATACTTGAAGGGACCCAGCCCAGTCACAGTAGGGTGTTGTTGTTTTATTCATAGTTTATGGATAGAAGGATGAAATAATGAAATGAAATTCTGTGGCAGTACTACTCTGGCAGTTCTTTGTAGAATAATTATGGTCATGATAGAACAGACAAGAGCAATAAAAGATGTGTAGGATTAGGCTACATGTATTCAGATGCTGAGCAGTGGGCTTTACTCCCTTGTAAGGTATAGAACTGCAATCCTATGTAACTTTTGTGTTAGCAGAAAAAGAAGCCATTCATATAAGAAGCCATTCAGTTTCCACCTGGGAAATTTCACTCACGTAACTTTAACAACAGCTGCAACAATGATGATAATGCCGTAATGCTTATTTGGAGTGTTTTCAGGACAAAGCATCACAGTAGTCAGTGGCACTTTAACAACTGTGTTTGCATCTACTAAAGTTATTGCCATTTCTGCCAGAACATCATAGTAGTGAACAATTCATTGTATATATAGGACTGCTGTCCCACCAACAGTGAAAACCTTTGATAATGGAAGTGCTCGCTTGTATATGAGTTCTCGCTTGACGTTCTGCCAGCAGTGGCATTAACTTTAGTAGAGTTGCATATTTAGGTAAGGTAAAGGTTAAGGACCCCTGGATGGTTAAGGCAACTTTGGGGTGTGGCACTCATCTTGCTTCAGGCCTAGGGAACTGGCATTTGTCCACAGACAGCTTTCCGGGTCATGAGGCCAGCATGACTAAACCGCTTCTGGCACAATGGGACACCGTGATGAGTGCCATAGCACAGGGAACCGCCATTTACCTTCCTGCCAGCAGTACCTAATTGTCTACTTGCACTGGTATACTTCCGAACTGCTAGGTTGTCAGGAGCTGGAACAGAGCAATGGAAGCTCACCCCATTGTGTGGACTCGAACCGCTGACCTTCCGATTGGCAAGCCCAAGGGACTCAGTGGTTTAGACCACAGCGCCACCTGTTCCCTATAGTTGCATATTTATGCCTATTGTTACACCAGCAGTGGTAGTCAAGAACCATTGGGTGCCTCCAGGATAGTCCATCAACAGGCAACCAGAGCCCTTGAAGTTGGGTTTGAATCTCTGGTTGCTTATAGCATACAAACAACACACAAAAAGGTCTCAAAAACATAAGTTACTCTTAATTGAGAACTGCATGAGTAAATTATGTTCCATGTGCTACATTGCTTGGCAAGTAGAGCACAATGTGGAATAAATTCCCATTTAAATTTATCTGCTAACATGAGGGAGACTATGTTAGAACTGGTACATAGATGGTACTTAGGTCATTTAACTGTCATATGTGATGGTCATGTGTGCAAAATTATACTTGGAAGTCACCCCACACCAAAATAGTATTGATCAGTCATAAATGATGACATGATTTATGCTTTGTACTTCTGGACATTTCTGAAAATGATTATTATTCTTACAAAGACTTATCAACTTTTGTTTATAGCAGCTAAACTGGATATGTCTGAGCACTGGAAAAGATACAGAACCTCTATCTATTTTTCAATGGTATCAAATAAGGTGGAGGTTCACTGTCATGGACAAACAAGTGCATCCATTTCATGTACAGTGGTACCTCGGGTTACATACGCTTCAGGTTACATACGCTTCAGGTTACAGACTCTGCTAACCCAGAAATAGTGCTTCAGGTTAAGAACTTTGCTTCAGGATAAGAACAGAACTCGGGCTCCGGCAGCGCGGCGGCAGCAGGAGGCCCCATTAGCTAAAGTGGTGCTTCAGGTTAAGAACAGTTTCAGGTTAAGAACAGACCTCCAGAACGAATTAAGTACTTAACCCTAGGTACCATTGTTCGAATCCCCGCAGCGGGGTACGCTCCTGTTGCAGCGCCTGCCAACCTAGCAGTTTGAAAGCACCTCCGGGTGCAAGTAGATAAATAGGGACCGCTTACCAGCGGGAAGGTAAACGGTGTTCCATGTGCTGCGCTGGCTCGCCTGATGCAGCTTTGTCACGCTGGCCACGTGACCCAGAAGTGTCTTCGGACAGCGCTGGCCCCCGGCCTCTTAAGTGAGATGGGCGCACAACCCTAGAGTCTGGCAAGACTGGCCCGTACGGGCAGGGGTACCTTTACCTTTACCTTTTTACCGTTGTTCCAGTTCCAGTTCATATCAAATACTAACAAGTATACAAACATGCACCTTTTTGCTCAGCAAAATGTACTGTGTTGTACAGGTTTTTTTTAAGGTTGATTGCTTTTCCTTTGAACTTGTAGCTCTGAAGCACTTATTATAATTATAGTATCTTTTAAAAAAAAGTTTCCAGGTGTGCAAATGACCAATGAATACCACCAATGCTTTTTTTTTTATACATTAGCAGTATTTGGTTGGCTAGGTTTCCCTCCTGTTCTTTCCTTTTTCTATAGTGCTTGCTTCAGTGCATTGCCTCTCCTAGCATTTTTTGGTGTGGTGTGTGTGTTATGAGGAGGGTTGTAGAATGTAATCATTGTGTAAATTCCCTTATTATCAATTTGTTCTCTGTTCATTATAAATAAGGAATAGAGTTCTAGTTAGAATCACATAGTTAGCTGATCTTGTTATCAGGATGATAAATATTTATCTCTCTTCTGTATAGTAAATTCATTGTAAACAGTCTTTCAAGGAGCCATCACATGGTATGCATATTAAAAGTAAATTCAGCAGGGGGGCAGTGTCTATGATCTGGTTGGGCATGAATGACTTGGTTGCTGTTGGAGTTGCGTATTCTGTGCTTGCTGTAGAAATGTAGGTTGGATTATGCATCACAGAAGTAGTTGCAATTTAACTGCTTTGCTTTATTTAGAATTCTTTTCGCTGACGGTTTCATCTAATTTATCGTGTGTGGACCCAGATCACTTCCATGATCACACTATTTGGACCCAGCAAGAACAGGTTAATCATTTGTTCTGCCCTTTGGATAACCAGAGCCTCCAGCTTCTTCAGTCTACCTCAAACTTTAGCATCCAGTGGAGCAAAAACTGTCATCTGCTTAACTTCACTGCATTAAGCCACCTGCACAGCACACTGCAGAACACAACAACATACCTCACCTTTGAGCACGCAAATGCCAGCGATGCAGGCAACTATACCTGCACGCTCTACTTGAACGATCAGAGAAACAGCTCCTTCACTGTCCGGCTGGTCATGGCAGGTGAGTGAAAGTCTCCTCTTGGGCCCATCCCAGGAGAAGCAGTACTGCTACTGTTTCAAGATGGGCCACTTGTCTGCCTAAGTCTGGATCCTATGTTGCTCATTAGTCACAGAGCAGCTGTGAAGTATCTATGTAGGGCATGATTTTGTCCGTTTTCACCTAAACATAAGGTACTGATCATACTCAAATAAGTTATGGCATTAGATAAGCCCTGGGGATGTGAGCCAATTTATCAAGTGCTATGATCCAAATTATGCATTGTCAACCAGAAGTTGGCGGGCTGATGTCTGTGACTGTATGTGTGGCTGTTGCTGAAGAGGGCTTCCTTTTGCCTGGGAGAAAAAGGCAGACACAGAGCTCTTTCTGAGCCCTCTCTGCATTTTATGTTATATATAAGATGACATATAAAGGTAAAGGGACCCCTGACTGTTAGGTCCAGTCACGGACGACTCTGGGGTTTCGGCGCTCATCTTGCTTTACTGGCCGATGGAACTGTGTAAACAGATAAACCTGACGAAGGCTTCACTGTGGTGGAGACACAATTTAGGAGAGAGAGAAAAGACTTAATGTTTCTAAAGCTGTGATAACAAGTGATAGTACCTAAAATGTGGTGAGAGGTACCTGAAGCTACCAAGATAAGCTCACTCCGTACCCCATTTGCTAGTTGTATTGTCAGAGCTGAAATGGGGAAAGACAGGTTTAAAAAAATATATATGCTGAGATTTAAAAAATAAGCAGACTTCTTGGGACAGATAAGTGTGTTTTTGTCTCTGCTTAATCTTTTATACTGCACTTAAACTAGGATGGATCACCATTTTGGAGCACTTCATTATGCTATTAGAAACATAAATTAGCTAAAGATGGTCAGAGGGAGGTCATACATCATTTGAGCTGAAATCCTGCACACACACCCTGAGACCTGGAAGTCAGGCTTGCTAGGCACTGTAGGTCTTATTTCTGAGAAGATTTGTATAGGATTGTACTCTTCAAATTTTTTTTATTCATTAAGATAAGGATGGTAGTTGCTGGTTTCTCAGGAAGTTCTCCTGAATTGGCTAAGGACTGGATATGGGCACTAAAAAGAATATTTTTTGTATTGTTCTCCCATTTAAATAAAGGTAAAGATTGGAAATTAGTCCAATACACACAGCAGTACCTACAGAAGGGAGAGCCTTTACATTTTAAAAAATGATGGCCATGATGGCCTAGTTCTCCTTTTCAGAATTTAAGGGAATGCAAGGGAAAGGAAAATTAGGGACAAGTACCTGTGGCATATTCTAGTTTTTAATGCAATGTGACATTTGCACCTTAAACACCCTATTTTCCACAATAGGATTCAGAAAGTTCTTCATTAAAAAAACACACGCTCACATATGCTGAAAATGTGTCACATATGCTGAAAATATTTAGCATGGATGAATGAGTTGACAGTATGAAAGATAGAGGGGGAAGAACAGCACTGTGCTGGACTCTGAACAGGCAGTGAGAATAATTAAAGTACTGGCACTAGGACTTAAAAAGTTAATAATTAATACCATATCTCATATTCAGCACTTCTGTGATGTGCATACCCCTTTATCCTGGGCATTTCTCTATTATGGGACATGACATGCTTTCCAGATAACCTGAACATTCTGTCTTTCCCACTATAGTCCTTACTGAATTTCTCATTGTTTTCTCAAGTCAAATCAGAACTTCAGAACCAGCCTTGAGAGAGAGGTTATACTCAGCAATTTGTCTAGTTAAGTTTCCTAAACATGGTGAATGGAGGCTGGAATCATCGGTGAACCCACTGTGTAAGGGAGATTGTGCTTAGGTGCAGGGTCACAGGGACAAGAGTAGCTTGACTTTCTTTGTTATGTTAGCCAGACCTAAATAGCCAATATAAGATTTGCAGTATACAGTCTGGAAGTTCAGTGCTCTCACCGAAAAGCTCTCTTACGGTGTACTGTTTTTGTTTCCCCAACAGACATTTGCAGTGTCCTTCCTCGTTTCCTTTACCCCTCCAGCAATCTGACTTTGCAACGTGATTTGGGAAGCCAGTTTACACTGAACTGCACTGTGCAGCTGCCCTACACGAAAAGCTGTGATTTTGGCCTCCACTGGATGAAAGATGACCAGTTGCTAGACAACGAGACCTATGCTGCTTCTACTCATTGGTAAGAAGGCTTTTATGGAAAATAATGGAAAATAAAGCTAAATTGGCTGTATAAACTAGAAACAAAAGAGAGAGAAACAAATTAAAATAGTGTCTCCCAGACTCTGAAGATAATGGTGGATCTTTAAGGGCTTATGTATACTATTAACCTTATAGGTTTGTGGAATAGGGGCAGTAGTGTAATATATATAGTTCATTGGGAGGAAATATCTTTGCAGTAGTAGGGGGAGACTGAGTGAGAGTGGGAGATTGTGTTTCTGTTAAAAAGAAAATTGTACACTTAAGCCCTGGAGAAGGGCTTAAGACAATGCTCTATGTATCAGTCTTCATTGGGGAGGCAGAGGGAGAGGAAGAAGACGTTTCAGATGTTTGTGGCTTCCCAACAAATCTGGTTTCATGAACACCCCTTTTATTTTAGTGTTCCCACTGCAGGGGACTTGTGTTGTGTTGTACGTTATCAGTGGTGTCATGGATATGTTCTACTAGGTTACTGGGAACTCATGTAATATTTTGTACATCACTCAATAATGGCATGGAGGCTGTAGCTGGGAGAAGAAAAATTGACATTTCACTAGTAAGAAAAAATGCACTTTAAGCAATAGGACATTGCTATTATAGTTCCACAAAAGAAGTACTTTTATGTAAGACAGTGGGATCCCATACAACAACTAAGCGACCACAATTAATCCATTGCTTTAAAAGAACAAGGAAAAAGATGATTTTGAAAGTCCCCAAATTTCTACTAGTTTTTGTGGAAGAAAAGGTTTTCAAAGGCCAACATGATAAAATAGTGACAGTATTTCCAGATCATAGATACTCAAATGGACACTCTTGTTACCAACTCACAGTTCATTCCTTGTCCAAATTTAATGTTTGGTATAATCCAAGATTCATAGGGTGGAGCCCTCTGAGTTTCCTTCCTGTCCGGTTCTGACTGAAATTTCCTAGTGTTGTTTTCAATCAGTGCTAACCTAAATCATCTTCTATTTGCACCCCAGGTTCAATGACAATAAATCAGAGATATTCATCTCCAGCACTTTGGATATGAATGTAACAACAGATGAAATTTATGGAGCATTTGCCTGCTTGGTTAGAAACAGTACAGCAGTTTTCACACTGCAAAAATCAGGTAGCATTTCTTTGTACTTCATACCATGTGCATTTGGGTGTGGGCCGGTACTCTATTTGAAGGTTGTTATCTTTATTAAGTTGTTAAAAAAAGATTCTGCTACTCACTAACTGTATTCCATAGTAGAATTCCCATGAGTATTTCTGAAATGAGAGCTGGAGATACTTTTTTTTTAAGAGTTGTCAGACTACTCTGAAAACACACTTATGGCATTCAATCCAAATGTAAATTTCCCTTTCAGAGTTGACCTCTGAAAACCGATAGATAAGAATATGGCTGTGTACAGCATTGATTGGCTGATGCCTTTGAAGTGACACACACACACACACACACACACACATCTTTGACCCCACCCCAGAGCAGTTCTGCACTTTGGTTAACAAGATGACAAATAAACATGATTGAAATAAACTCTTTTTAATTTAATTATCTTTAGAAGGGCTTCTTATCTGAAGCTTGATGGGAGGGGCAAGTGTGATAACTGAGCTTGCATTTGCTTTGTACATTTGTCATTAAAATGGCAGAACTAGATAAATCTGAGATTGTGCAGCAGCTGAGGAATTGAATGTGATTTATATTCTGTCTGCTTCCTCTTGAGACTCAAGTAGCCTAAGTGTTTTGGATTACATTTTCTAATTACAGTCTAGAAATGATCCATGGCTCAGCATCATTATTTCATTTCTCCATTGGTGTATGTGAGATGCTAAGGGCCATTTCACACATTATGTGTGTGTCTTGGAATGGAACAGTGTGTGTGTGTGTGTGTGTGTGTGTGTGTGTGTGTGTGTAAGAAACTACATCCTTGGGTCCAATGTACAGGATTCAGTATGGTCTATTGAGGATGTGGGTAGCATGGAATCTGGTCAGAGTTTGACCCACAGTGAGTTTATAGAGGTGTGACAGCTTCACTATACATTCAGTTTATAATTCAGTCCACATTTTTCACTTTGTAGTGCCACTGTTCAGATGACTCTTGGCATGTGTGCAAAGGCAAATGTGTTTTTGGGGGGAAGAAACATAGTTTTGAACTAAGATGGCTTCAAAATTCTCAAGTATTGTATGACCCTCTGAGAATTTATGAAGTGGGTATCTCAGCTTGGCTTTCCTTCTTTTAGGAAGAAGCAAGACTTAATTTTCTATATAGAAACTAACTGTTCTCATTTAAAAAATAGAGTAATTTACTTTAGCCCATGCATGGCCATCTGATAGACTGAAGTCTAGCTGGGGTGATAAGAGTATTTGCTTTTATGCTGTATCTAGATGCCTTCCTTTTCTTTTGAATAAGTTCCCCCTGTTTTATCTTGGAATTCAAGAGCCTGCCTGATCCTCTTCTTAGACTTTAAAAGATGTTTTTGCTCTAACTGGTAGTAGGGTTTCTAAAAAGGGCTTTGAACCAGCCTTACCATGTCTCTAGAGGAGTTTAATATAAAGACAGCCTTTAGTGCCATCAGTATTGCTCCATGCTGGCTTTAGGGGCTCAGTTTACAAGAGAAATTTTATGATGGCGTCATCAGTGAATCTGATGGCAGAAAATTGCCACATGATGGCACCAGCAGACAATAGAAACTTTTCTGAGGTTTTCAATCAGTCACAGCCTCAAATGGTTCTACACACCAAAACAAACGTGCTATCAGGCTGCCCCCAAGCAACTCAGCTGTTTTGGCATGCTTGAACACTTTCAAATTCCTCCATCTGGAAGTTTCCATAGGCTGATGGAGCAATTCTGAGATTAGAGCCTCAGTGTATTTTAAAGCAACATTCAGCAAATGGCTCAGTTAACAGTATATTCCAGAGTGTTTTACAAAAAGTCTAAATGAACATGCCCGCGCGCTTGCAGGAAGAAATTGAATTGGCACTGGAGAATGTGAATAATTTAGTTCATGCACATCTTTACTCTGAAAACCTTTGATTTACTTCTGCATGTGCATCTTGTGAATGGAGATCCTTGCAAAATTTGGAGGATGATCTAACAATGTGGTGCTAGAATAAATCTGTCTTTTAGCTTCTTCCTCATCATGGTTGCACGTTCTGATAGTCAGAACAGTCATCAAGATACTAAAAATTGTTCAAGAATGACATAACCCCTCATTTTCTTTATAATTTGGTATATTCTGAGACCATAGACCCCAACTCTTCTCTTCCTTTTTCCTCTACCATCCTATCAATTGTAAGGCTGTTTTCTCATTTAATGCTATTTAAAATATGTCTTTCTATTACAGCAGAGACTGCTGGGCACTTGGGCGCTGTGCTAGCTGCACTTTTCACGGTGGCACTGCTGTTACTAATGGCTGTGATGTATGTGAAGTGTCGTCTGAATGTGCTCCTCTGGTACAGAAACCGTCATGGAGAGGTGGAGATCAATGGTAAATATTGGGCTGGAGAGTTGGCTGTCACTTTTCCCCTTGTGAGATTCGAGTTTCAATGACAGTCCAACCCAAAGTGTGAACTTCTACAAGAATTATCCTCTCAGTGTTATAGCTAGTCAGCACAGGTTTTGTTGTTGTTGTTTTTTTAAAAATTATAATAAATTTCTCCTCTTGGTACTTTTCCACAGATGGAAAGCTGTATGATGCCTATGTGTCTTACTCTAACTCAACGGATGATAGAAAGTTTGTCAACTTCATAGTGAAGCCACAGCTGGAGAATCGTCACGGCTACAAGATTTTCCTGGATGATAAAGACATCCTGCCCAATTCAGGTATAGAACCTTGTCCAACACCTCATTTAATATGTACCTGGGCACTCAGACTTGCTATTGAGTTCAGGCTGCGAATAACTTACATGAAATGGATTAGTTGGCTAAATGAAGAGAAACCTTCAGTTTAATTTGCCCATTTGGCATCCTATGTTTAATATGGTAGCTTTATTATGTGTTAAAATATCCAATTGAAATTGGTACACACACTAAGTCTGAATATCAGGTTAACTCTTGCATCCATTTTCAAACAAGAGGAGGAGAATGCAAAAAACACTATTTCTATTAGACACTGAGAGAGCAGGATGAAAGTTGGTATGCAACTTCAGGGCAACATTCTGCATTTCAAGTACAGCTTAATCCATGTCCCTGTTTCCAAGGTAGATTGGAAAGATGTAAAACATAGTGCAGTGCTATATCTGACTGAGATATTAGAATACAGGCTGGTTTATACATTCAGGACACCATTGTGTATTTCATATATGATCCCAGCTTGACATCTGTATCCTTTTTCAGAGTGAAGAAAAGGGCCACAAACATTGCAATGCAGTACAGTGGTACCTCGGGTTACATACGCTTCAGGTTACAGACTCCGCTAACCCAGAAATAGTACCTTGGGTAAAGAACTTTGCTTCAGGATGAGATCAGAAATCGTGTGGCAGCAGCAGGAGGCCCCATGAGCTAAAGTGGTGCTTCAGGTTAAGAACAGTTTCAGGTTAAGAATGGACTCCGGAACGAATTAAGTACTTAACCCAAGGTACCACTGTATCTGAAATGAAGCCTGTTGAACGCTGCACTTTGCTACTTAATAGATGCAAAAGTATGGCTCTGAAAAATTACTTTGTCCTTTGGCACACTATTTTGTGCATCTGAAGCAACCTAAAATACCTTTAATTCTAAACACCAATAATGGCAAAGCTGTGCAAAGTAGGAACTGAATATTTTATAGACAGGCTCTCTGTTGTACGAAGAAAAATGTATTCTCCTTAACCACCCAGTTGTCCACAGTTAGGTTCCATTTGCATATTAAGTAGGATGTATTCACAGTCTGCCCAGTATATGCTCAGCACAACTGGTGGGCTTTCTACACCTGTTCAGAGTCTGTGGCATGATGCATTGCTTAACTTGCATGACCTTGCAGATATGCATTTCATAGAGATGGGTGGTTGTTTTGTGCTGGCCCGCTGCCTCTCCCTGTGCCTCCACGTTTCCAGGCTGTTATTGCATATGTTTGACAATGTGTTGTTTCTTTATTTTGGGCACAGCTTGTTTAATCTTCCTCCAAAGAGCATGAAGTGTAGTTCCTATCCAGGCAGTTTACAGGCCCACCCCTGTTCTGGCTTCCGCAATATCACTGTAATCATGTGCCTTCAGACCATTTGTTCTTATCTTCAACTGTTTTGTTTAATAAAACTTCTATAAAAAGTATGCAACATCCATTTGCATGGGGATTCAAAACAAGCTGTGTACAAAATGCAGCTCCTCCATGTTCTAAAATGCTGCCCACAGTGGACAGTTCTGGTTAAACAAGAATACACCACAAAACAGCATTTCTCAACAGCTGTAGTACCTTTTTGAGTGTATAGTACTATGGAAACGGCATCTGTATTGTGCTCTTTGTGGTGTGTCTAATAATTAAAAAATGCAATGTTTGAGTATACTCTTCATTTTTAAAAAAATGTCCTGAGTGTTCCACCAGAGGCACTCATATCCAAAACCAATGGTGCTGTCTGAAGGACAGGGAAGTTCTAAACAGGCTGGTTAGCTTTTATTCCATTGCCCAGGGGTTCTCCTTTCTGTAGAGCAAAGTGGATATGCATTTGGATGCTAGGGTATTTATTTCTTGTACAGGTGAAGGATGAATGCTGAAACAACAATGGATTGGTTCTGGCCCTTCTCAGAAGAGATTTAGTTTTTCTCCTCTCTTTCAGAACCTTCTGCAGATCTGATTATGAATGTCAGCCGGTGCCGCCGCCTCATTGTGGTTCTCTCTAATGCATATCTGGAACAGGAATGGTGCAACAATAATTTCAGGTAATTAGAGAGTCAGCAATAGAGACAAGTTCTCTGATCCTCCTTTCATTTTTGGAGGATCAGGAATGACTCAGGCAAATAGTATGTGCAATTCTGATTTGGAGGGATCACTAAAATCATAGTTTGCTTATTTGGTCGTCCTGGTAAACTATGGCTTGTCAAACCAGTCAAGTGTTCCAATAAGTTGTACTCATAAGAGGAGGAGGGAAGGTAGAAGGGAGTAGGAAGGCAGGTGGGAGTATGTTCCTGGCTCTCCTATCTATGGTTAGAAGGGCATCTGAATTTATCCAATTTCTGTATACACCTCCAATCACAACACCCAGAATCTCTCTCATATATCTGGAAATGAAGCACAGCAGTTTAGTGTTAATGCCTCTCAAACCAGTTCCTGAAGTTTTCATTGAACTGTTTGAATTCTACTGAAACTAGTCGTGCTTAGAATTAATTTTTGGGGTGACTAGATTGGGTTTCAATAGTTTGGTTGTGGATTTGCTTAGGACTCTAACCGATTGTCTGGTTTTGCAGGGAAGGTCTTTGGAGGCTGCTGGAACTATCCCGGAGGCCAATCTTCATTGTCTTTGAGAGCCAGTACCGAGAAATAGCACATCCAGCCATAAATTTGCTGAAGCAGCAGAAGAGCACAGTGACCCTTCTGATGTGGCGTGCTGGGTCCATGGTAAGTTGTGGGCTACAAGGCCATAACTTCATCACTGTGGTTTTGTTTCTCAGTGGCAAGGCAGTATTTGATGCTATTCAAGAAGCATAGAAGTGTAGAGAAGCTTCTCTTCCAAGAAGGGTTGAGATCCAGTCCTCCATTACTTGACCTTGCTGTGATATATACCAGAGTAATAACTGTTACCTGCTTTTCTTGGCACTAAAGAGTAGCACCTTCATGAAAGTAGGCTGAATATATTTTTGTCTGTCCGTTATTTTGATATTTCCTGTTATTTACTTTTTATTTTAGCTATTTACCTGTTGACTAGGAGATCATCAGCTCCAGATATTTGCCAAATGATACCTTTTTAGATGAACATGGCTTGACTGCTCCATGGCTCATGCGTGGAGGTCATGAGCAGTGTTGTAAGCATTGCAGAAAATATAGATAAGTTATATTTTAACTCCCACTTTAAAGAAGCAAACAGAGCCACAGGGAGGCACCAGAACCTGAGAAATAAGAATTGGAAACATATACTTGCTTCACCCAGAGTACTCTCAGTGCAAAGAGAAGTGAAAAGAGAGGGGGATGTTAGAGGCTGGAGAAGGAAAAAAGCACAAATCCTTCCCTAAAATGAGCATTTGCAGGGGAGCATTCTAGCAGGATAGAGACTTCTGGTTTACAGTTATTGCTGTTTCTTTATCTGTGCTAAATGAACAATAGCATGCTTGTGACTCACAATACTCCTTGCAGTTGCACATCAGGATATTTAGTTATTTTATTATGCTTTTCACCCATCCTTCACCTCACAGTCCCAGGGCAGGTTACAACAATTAGAAAAACTACTGACATGACACGTGTGTGTATTTTTAAAGAACTGGACCCATCGTTTTTTGTAAGTCTGGTATAATAATAATAATAATAATAATAATAATTTATTATTTATACCCCGCCCATCTGGCTGGGTTTCCCCAGCCACTCTGGGCGGCTTCCAACTGAATATTAAAAACAGTACAGCATCAAACATTAAAAACTTCCCTAAAGAGGGCTGCAAAACTTGTACCTCATATAAATATTTAAATGCATAAATAGGATGCACACACAGGTAAACAAATAACTGTAAGCATGCTTGCAATAGACCTTAGGTTTCCAGAACTTAGGGAGTGTGAGGAATGGAGGGGAGGGGACAACAGCACACAGTGCTAAGACATCCCAGCAAACACCTCCCACTCTTGGGGGACAGGAAGCACTGCAATAGAGTTCGTTTGAAGGTGGTCCTGTGGACAGATGTGCACAAAAATCCACATGGAAAAATCAGAGCTGTGCAACTCACTTGTTCAATTAACACTCTACTGTGCATACAACCTATGCTTCAAGACATAAGAAAGGGGCTTTTTGATTTTACTTACAATGTAAAGAATCCTAAGCAGCTTTGTTAAACAGGCCTTTTAGACACAGCATTCAAGGAACTACCTACTCCCCTCCCCAGCTAATAAGAAGTTACGACAGCTAAATATTTCAAAGCAGCTTTAACAGTGCCTGGAAAATGCCATTAGGTGTAAGGATACTGCTTCCTTCTGGCACTGAGTAGATCAAAGCCACCATATGTCCGCTATTTTTTTGTTTACTCCTATCTCTAAGACAAAATGGGAACAGCACATTAACATTTTTAATAAGACTGTTCCTGTACATGAGTAACAGGCTGCCAGTCTTGAGCTCTGTAGGTGCAATCTTTGGCTTCTTGTTTCTTAGTCAGATTAAAAATCCGACTCTTTCCAAAATAAGGCATTAGGAGAGGAATTAATATCAAGAGAGGTTTTAAAGTAACATCCAGTGGAGTGGTCCTGTCATTGCTAAATTATTTGGTTCAAAAAAACCCAATTGGCTGTATTCCATCAGGGTGGAATCTGAGCACAGAGATCCCAGTTTTCAAGAAAGGCAACACACAAATTATATACCAATCAGTCTTATAGATAGCATTAAAAATTACATGTAAAATACCTCCTGTTTTGAGTATGAAGAATGGCCGATGTTGCACAATGTAGTTGCTGAATAACAAGCTGGCTTTAAAGCTGGCTAGTTAATGCTTGACAACCATTCTGTGCTTGCTCATTTAATTCCTGTGTTAACAGAAAAAATAAGCTCTTTGTAATCAAACTGCCTTTGATTACATCAGTAGAAATACATTCTCGGAGAACCTCGAACACCAGCATTGCTTGCCATGTGTTAATTTGGTAGTAGCATTACCCTTAAAAACTAAGCTAAATTATCTCATAAGTGGATTGTGTCCAACTATATTCCTATATTTAGGGTGGATTCTAGATTGTTCATCCTGATTGGTTTGTAAGGTTATACAGCAGGAGTGGGCAACCTCTGGCCCACAAGCCAGTCTTCATTCTGGCAAAGCAAACCCCTTCAGCCAGCAAGATTATACTCTCTGCTTTCCACTCACCAGCTGATGAGCAGGGGGTTTGATAGTGCTCTGTTTGGCTGTACATACCTGCTGCCATGCTGGAAACAGGCACACACGACGAAAGAGAACCATCTCTGGTGGTTCGCAGCTCCCCTGAAATTCCATAAAACTAAAAGCTGAATGACAGCTGAATAGTACCTCGAAATATTGGCATGCCTATTGCCAATTCTAAAATGGGTTCAAATTAACTATGCAGTTGCTCTTTGCATTTGAGATCTTGGGGTTCAGGGGGGGTGTGCCTGCTTCTCATCTGACTTGATTGGGTTCAGAACACCATCAAATTGGCTAACAGCATTTCTCCAATAAAAAATGGGCCATTTTAGCTCTAAAAGTAAAAGTGAATGCTAGCCTGCTTTAACTATTGGAATTAACTCCTGCAATTCTTCTGAATGAATATAACCAAAAGGATGTTGTAATTAATAGTCAGGGGATAGTTTATTAAACTCTGATGCTTGGTAACAATTTTTTCCCCCGTTGAATATTTTTCCAGCAGGAATTCTACGGTTGCAAAACTTGATTTAAAGAATAATGTTTGTGACCTCTTTATTCAGAAATACCTACGTTTTGTTTCCAACTCTAAAATCACACCATGGCAGTTAAGTTTAAATATAAACATATTGAATTGTATCTGATGGATCTATCAAATTTCACCAGCATAAGACTTTCCCTGTGCTCACAATGCAGTGTATGCAACTTCCTGTCATGGGAGATGCAAAAATATTTCTTTTGCTTCCCAAATCTGCTTATGTGGAGAACATTCTGTGAAAGATATAACCCATTACTTACTGGATGCTCAATTTCTGAGAAAGCTTGTAATTTTTTCATCAGTTTCTGGGGGAATGTTGCCATTGATCAGGCTTTCAAATAATTTATTTTTTACTGGCAAGTTCAAAAAAGAGTATTATCAACACAGTGGCCAGCTTTTCCTTAGCTGTGGCCAAATGCTGTTAAAAGTTTGTGGATGCTTCTGCAATAGGACTGCAGGCTGAATGTTTGTGGCGGCTGTTAATTTCCTGCCAATGTTTTTTGTTTAATGATGTTTTCATTTTTGAATTCCTGCTCTTTTATTTACAGTGTTGCTCCTGTGTAGCTGTACATTTTGACTTGATATGGCCAATGGCCAATACAAATAATTCTCTATTTAATTTGTATATTTACCCACCTTGCTGTTCCCCAGAGAAGCACACTATCAGATCAGTTAGGCTGAAGTAGCAACAAGGAAGTAGAATGGATTACGTAGAAATATTGTGGTTTCTTGTGCCTGAAAAGGCTGTAAAGCATTGCTGGAGGTCCCTGTCAGCTATGCCCCTTTACCTCAAGGGTGCAGGCAGCTCCCAGTATCTCTCTCAAATTCTCGTAACCTCTATAGGTCACTTTCTCCTCTAGGGCTATGGCTTACTGCAGGCTTACTCAGCCCTCCAGATGTTTTTGGCGTACAACTCCCATGATCCCTAGCTAGCAGGAGCAGTGGTCAGGGATGATGGGAATTGTAGTCTCAAAACACCTGGAGGGCCAAGTTTGAGGAAACCTGGCTTACTGCATGCAGCTGTAGCTTGCAGCTATGGTTTACTGTGATGTACAGACTGGGCCACTAAGGTGAGATGAAGTTAGGAAATAGCAAGCTTGGGAAAACTATCTGTGCGAGGCATTGAAGCATTGCAGTCTGTTTCTGAGTTTTCGCTGGATACCAGCCACATGTTCTCTTGCCTTTTATCCATGAGGACAAAGCCAAAAGCCTTACTTTAAAAAAAGGGGGGAAAGAATTCACTCAATTTAAAATTGCACTGAAATCCTAGGTTAATGGAAAGGCGAAATCTGTTGCTTTATCTGGTCACGAAAGCCTTCCATCAGAAGTAATGCCACTTAATACCTCTTAGATTTTGCAGTGCTTTTCATCTCGAAGATGAAACAAAGCTGAATGGGGAAACTGTTGGTGGAGCTGTAGATCCCTCTGTTGTAGTGAACATTTATCTCCCTCTGTTCAATCCTTTGGGAGCCAGACAGGGTGCCTGTGCTTCATAGACGAGGAGCTCCTGTGAGAACGCTGCCCTCAAGGCAGGGCTGCTGGGACTTGCCTACAGATATATCACACAAGGGTTGGTGTATAACTGATGAGCATGTGACAAGATGCTGCCTCTTTACTGCTTCTAGGCGCCTTCATCTGATTTTTGGAAGGAACTGTGCCTCGCCCTGCCACGAAAAGTGTCCTATCAAGGCCTCAGGGGAGACCCCCAGACCAGTTTCCAGGAAGACAAGGACCCTATGCTGATCCTCAACAGCAATTACTTGGATTTCCGGGGGGATTCGCACCCTGAAGGAGACTCTGGTAACAGCACTGTTTAATCTTCACTCTGCCACCATAGCATGCCAACAGTTGCTTTTGATCCTGCTCTGAGGTTTTTTGTTTGTTTGAGTGTTAGTCCACAGTTAGCCAGAAAGATTCTCAAGTGAGGCTCACAATTAAGTTTGAAAGGAAAAAAACCATTAAAAAAATCACTTGATAGAAGAACACTGCAATTGCCAAAATTAGCAAAAGTATAGCCCAGCAGCTTTATTAATCAGTCAGCCAGGTGCCTTTGTACACACTGCCATGAGCTAACTGTGTGCTTCCTGTCTGTACTATTACAGCTATTTTAGTATGGTATGCCAAAACCCTATGTACATTTACTTTAGCATAAGTTCCATTGAACTCAAGGGAGCTTCCTTTAGAGTGGAGATGTGTAGGATCAGGCCTCACTTTTGATTACAAAAGCTAAGGCTAGTCAGATGATGACCGCCCCCCCCCCGAATTAAAGATGCTTTGAAATATGTGATCAAATTGTGCTATGTACTCTCATCTTAGTTTCACCTCTAGGAAATAGGTTTCTTCTTTATTTCAGAATTATCAAAACCTGTTCAGCCAGAGGTGACAGTGGAGACCAATGGAAGTGAAGCCTCTGCACCCACTTTCAGATTCCTTAAAATTTATTTTCTCCACTTTAAGCCTGTGTAGTGTAGTCAGATCACAAGCAGTAGTATTTATTTAAGGCCTTTATATACCATCTGACTTGGCAGAATGTGTCTACTTTGGTTGATCACCAGGCTTGGTCACCATTGTATGTTGTTTCTGTGGCTTTCAAATGGCATAACAGGTCTTCCTCTTTCTTTCTTTCCTTCCTTCCTTCCTTCCTTCCTTCTTTCAATGGCCAATCCAGAGTTTCACCTGATTAGCTGATCCTTCATCAGTCAAACAACCATTGCCTCAATCCAAATGAAATTATCTTCCCTGTCATGCAGCAATCCACACATACATACTGTGGCACATTTTGTAGCAGAAGAATTAATTAATCTGTTTTTCCCATTCACTGCTAACATTGATTAGGGAGCAGGGCAACATGTTTTCATAGAGAACATGTTATTTTGGCTATGAATCCATTTGTGTGTGTGTAGAGGAAGAAAGGAAATAATGGTGTCATTATTGCTACATGCTTCCTTAGAGTAGCAATACCAAGGAGTGGAAATTTATGTAATTTACCACCTCCCTCTATCATTTATGTGCAAACATACCAAGAGTTCATAAATGAAATGGGTTTTATATCCACCAAAGGGCAGTTTTCCATTCTCTGAGCCTGAGACTACAAAGAGCTTGGTGGTTTAGTCCTGACATCCTTTTTCCTAGGCCTGTGGGACTATGGCTGTACAATGGATCAATGAGTAGGAAGCGCACCTGAGGCATCGGTTCCAGAGGTTGTGAAGAACAAGCTCTGGCCCTGGGGATTTGTTAACACAGGCTGAGCACTTGCAAAGCAATACATTTTAATTTTAGTAACAGGAGCAAAATAAGTTCAGTGGTCATAAAAGATTTACGAGCGACTGGCAAGAGCAAGCCCAGCTCGCTTGTACACGGTGATTTTATTGTCAAGAGAAGAACAGAGAAAATAATGGGTTTGGCTGGGCTTTTCTTTTAGTTGAGACAGCAGCGTTGGGCTTATTTTGCTGAGGGTGCTGCGTTCACTGTCATTAATAGGCCTTGTTTCTTGTGTGGCGCGGCTGTGCACCTTGTTGGAAGCTTTCCTCATTAGTCTAGTTGCTCCATACAACAGCATGCCAGGATGCTTGAGGCTCCTCATTCTCTCACTTGCAAAGGGAATTGTTGCTTAGAAGACATTTCATTCTCACTAGGAGCACCTGATTTTTACACACACACACACACACACACACACACACACAACCTCTCTCCTGCTTGAGAGAAAGTGATGCACATTAAATGTATTTCATGAGGCTTACAAAGGTGTTACCGGTTTCTCTTCCCAGCTCCCCTCCTGAGGTCTTTGAAATGCTGCCTGTTAGTGCTAAGGGGAAGAGCAGCTCCTCTCAGACCCTGGGGATTGGCGAAAGGCGGGACTGAAGCCTCCTCCAGATTCCCTAGGTGTTGAAATATTCAGGCCCCTCACTCTTGTCTGACATGTCAAGGCATGCTCTAAAATAAAACATTTAAATTAAGTTTAAAACTGTCAACTGACTCCCAAGCTGCATGAGATGCAGGAGGTCTATAATTAGATCTCCTGACATTTCTGCTTTTAGTTAAAAGTAGCCAGAGGCTCCAGCTTTGATTAGAGCAGTGACCCTGAGCCTCAGGCCTGAGGAAAAAAAATTTGAACTCTATTTCCCTGTGCCATTACCCCAATCTGTACTGTCTCCTAGTTATAGATCTCCTGCATCTCACGCAACTTGATACTTAAATTGGTTTAATAGTTCTTCCTTCTCTCCGGCTAGCCTTAGCAACTAGTTCTTTGAGGAAGGATAGCAATCTTACTGAAGTACTATTCGCAGAAATGTTGGTGGGAAGCAATGATACTTAAACTGGTGTTTAAATGAGCTTGAACTGTATATATGTCCTCCTTGTAAATACAGTGGTACCTCGGGTTAAGTACTTAATTCCTTTTGGAGGTCCGTTCTTAACCTGAAACTGTTCTTAACCTGAAGCACCACTTTAGCTAATGGGGTCTCCTGCTGCTGCTGCGCCTCTGGAGCACGATTTCTGTTCTCAACCTGAAGCAAAGTTCTTAACCCGAGGTAATATTTCTGGGTTAACGGAGTCTGTAACCTGAAGTGTCTGTAACCCGAGGTACCACTGTACTTGCAGAAAGTATAGTGGCACCAGTCATTTTAAAGCACTGCAACTTGTCTCATTCTGCCTTGCCATCCCTTCCTCTCTGCTAACTGCTACCTTCTCCTTCCCATCCTACAGGTGGCAGGGGGTCCATTTTCAAAGGCGCACCGCCTCCTCCCATGAGTGGCCCTGATGGTCCTCCACTTGGTGCTTTGGAAGAAATACAGCTTGGGGAAAACCAAAGGAGTGAGATTGACATCTCTGATTTGGGATCTCGGAACTATGGAGCAAGGACAGATTTCTACTGCCTGGTGACAGAGGATGATATCTAAGAGATGCTGGAATTTTCCTTGGTGAAACTGATTATCACGATGTGCCTTGACAATGACAATCGGCTTGGGTAGTTTCTTTGATCCATAACAACCAAATTGAGTGCTGTAGGGCTCTGTCCTGGGCCCCACACTCTTCATGATATTAATCAATTACTTAGCAGAAGGGGTGGAGGGGAATCCTTAGCACATCTATGGAGGACATGGAAATGGGAGGGATCACTAACACCTCAGAAGACAGGAATAAAATTCAACATGATCTCAGTGGGTTGGAAACTAGGCTGATGAACACATGAAGTTCAACAGAGACCAATGCAAAATTCAAATGCACAGGTTTGGGTGGTGGGAATACCTAGGTTGGCATGGCAATAGTATACGTGAGAAGGATTTTAGCATTGTGTTTGATCACAAGCTGACTATGTATGAGTCAGTGGTGTTAGATGACTGCAAAAACAGACTAATAAGATTTTTTTGCAGCATTAATAGAACCATGGTTTCCAAGTCACCAGAAGTGGAACTGTGGCAGTGGACCCGGTTACCTAGAGGGCAGGTGGTTTCCTGCTCTGGAAGTCTACATGAAGAGGCTGGACCTGAATTGATATAGTCCACAATATGGGTATCTAACCTGAGTTCATGTGGGCCCCCACCTAACTTTGTCTCATCCCCCAACACCTCAGCACTTTGGTGGCAGCAGCAAGAAGAAACAAAATCAAAATTGAGTGTTTGAATGCGACCAGCTGCATACCTGTGCATGCAGTGTGTGTGTGTGCACATGCATGTTGCATACATGCAGGAGTTAAAGTTAATCAAGAGTAAATGCAGCCTTTGGGCCCAAAATGTTAGCCACTCCTTCTCTACAGTATCCCTTCCAACTCTTTGGTTTTATATCACTTCAGCACTGTAATTGTTGGGGGGGGGGGAGAGTTCTGTTAATCCTGAAATGTGCAAGACTTTGTTAGTGCCTTATACTTTGATTATCTTTAGTTTATATAACTACTCAGGATCAAGGGAAGTTGTTAGGAACGAATGACCCTATTGTATGTTCTTGGCTGAAGATCTTGCACTAGGTCACTATGCTGAGACCCCAACAACGTCTGTCAGACTCCTTTGTTTTTGCTAACATCTCTGGATAGCCCTAGCTATTTCAGAAATGGGCACTGATGACTGGCCAACATTAAGGTAATAGAACAAAGGAAAATAACAGCAATTTGGCCTGGCACTGCTGAGACCCTGTTGTGGCTGGAAACGTATCAGTCAAAAGCGGTGTAATGGAAGCAATGTCTTGGACAAAACAGATTAGATTAGCCATTTTGTTTCCGAATGAAAATCACATTGACAGCTGCAGCCCTTGGGTAAGTAGCACTTTCTAAGAGCTTTACAGCCTGATCCTAGCCACATTTACTTGGAAAATTTGCCTTAAGTTAGTTACGGCAGTTTGTGAGTACAGCCTTAGCAATACATTGTTGCCACTAAGTGCAGATCAATGCCTAGGATGGAAAGAGAAGGGCTATAATGTTGATGGAACATCTCCCTGAACTTCAAGAAAAGCATAGCTTTTGGGGGAGGCAGGATTTGAAAAGTAATGACACTGAAAGTTCAGAATGAAAAGGTCAAGTTTTACTTACGTTCCAGCTAACATATTGTCACAGCAAGTCTTAGAAAAGGTTGGCACATGGTCCTTTGTCCTCTGCTTCTTTGTTTTCTTCTGGCAAGGCTCTGAATAAGTCGCCCACCAAAAGGCCTAATTGCAATAATGGCACCTCAAAAAGTGTTTTAGGCTGTGTTTAGCTACTAATGTTGTTTGCTGCCTAAACAGTTCACTGGGCAGGTGTTCTTGCTTTAAAAAAGATTGTATGCACACCAGAAAGTGGCTAAATAAATAAATATTTTAAGCTAGCTGTTTTGTGGCATAAGTAGTCACTGGGCTGTCAACTTCAGCCTCTAGAAAGCCGATGTCTTCAAGTTAACTGGCATCTAAAGGGTTAAGCCCAGACTTCCGGGTTGACGCGATCTGGAAATGGCGGATTCCCTCCGAGCTCCGGAGGGAATCGGCTCCACTGAGGATGGGTCTTTGCCGCGCCGGCGACGCGGGGACCCTTAAAAACCGCAGGCGCGGAAGCCTGCGGACTGAAGACTCGGCGGGTGCCTTAAGCGCCCCCCCTGATTCGCAAAGAGCCTTTTTAAAGGCTGCGGAGGGGATACGGGGGTGGCGTGGCACTGAGAGTCGATCGCTACCTCGGTGGAGCGAAGCCGCGAGCCATGACCAGAGAGCGCTGACTTCCTTCCTTGAAAATTTGGACTGAAAGAATCACCCGTGAGTAAGACGGATTGGGACTTTAAAAAATCTACCTTAAATTGGAGACGACCGGGGGGTGTGCTAAAAGGAAGTCCGCACCCCCCCTCTTGCAGACGATCTAAGCAACGACACAAGAGCTAAGCTGGAGAGCCTACCCTTGGCGGGGTGAGTTAAAAAGGACACTAACTTCCAAGATTTAACTAAAGGAAATTTAGGGTTGGAGAGTGGAGTTTTGGAAACCTTCTTTTTGTTTAAACAACCCCCCCTCCCGGGCTCGGGAACGTCCTGCCTTTGTGCCTGCGTTAGAGCTGCGGAGCTGCGGAGTTTGACAGCTGTCAAAGCTGCCAAACGGGCGGTCTAAAGTGAGAAATTGTCATTTAAGATCCCTCTGGACTAAGATGAGTTATAATTGAGTTAAAGCTGTTGGAAACAAAGTAATAACAATCAGTTAAAGGATTGTTGCTGAAAAGGCAAATAAGTAACCAGATTCCCCCTAGGGGGAATTCTGTGAAACTACAATGGATACAATGGCTGTGGAAGGAAAGTTACTAGTGGAAATCGAAAGGATGTTTCAATTGGTGGGAATTTTACAAGAACAGAGCTTGGCCATGAACAAACAACTTGAGACTATGACCTTGGGAACAGGCAACTCTGCTCCTTGTATTGAGGACCTTAATGAGAAAGAATCCACAGCTGATTGGGAAACAATACCTACAGAGCTGGAAGAGACTAAACAACAAGAAAAAGAAGAAGTAATCCTGGGAAGTAACAACCAAAAGCTGACATCTGTGGAATACAAGCAAGGAGACGCTGGGAACATATCCATTACAAGTTTGCGAAAGATACAGAAGAAGAAGGAGGAGGTCCCAAGACAAAATGAAATACAGGAATTTAAAATAAAGAAATATGATTGGGGCCTTCGTCTGGACTTAGACTTGGAAGAGATAGACTTTGTGGAAATACTTCAGCAGCTACCTTTGAATTTTCTTGTTGGAAGAGGATACATCTTGATGGTGAGAGAACTTTTCCCAGATCTGACGACTGCTACAAAGGACTACCAACAGGACAGGCGGAGAGGGACGGAAAGAGATCCGAAAGCCTCGGACGTGAGGAACCCAGGCTGAGAATCTCGAATTTGGATTTTTATTGGGAAGGGACAAAAACCGGGGATGGGAGGGAGGGAAGAAGAGACTCTTAAAAACTCTCAAGACTTTTAGGTTTGGTTAAGATGACTTTCAATTAAGATAAAATGAAAATCGATGGAAGAGAACTTAAGTCCAACTTATGAAAATCAATTTTTATTATGAAAAACGAAATAAGATGAATAAGATTGTTAAGAGGAGAAATATCAACTTGCTGTTATAATCTTGAAACTGGGATGCACGAGGGGAGGTGGGGGGAAGTCAGGGAACAAGGTTATGAAATGGGGATTTGCTGATTTTATACATGTTTTTGTCTTTTGTTTTTTCTTTGTGTATGTTTTGTCTTTATAAAAGCAGAAAATCAAATAAATTTTTGATTAAAAAAAAAAAAATAAAGGGTTAAGCCCTGACTTGGGAAAAACTGGAGCTTCTGCATATCAGGGTTGAGTTGTGTCAGGACTAAATGGGCACTACTAACTTGGTCCAGCAGCTGAAAACAATGAAAATGGAATTGACATTCTCATGGTCTTTATATGCACCAAAATTTCTTCCCAACCATGAACACTAGCACTGTCTAGTCCAGTGTTTCCCAACCGGTGTTCCGCGGCACACTGGTGTGCCGTGAGACCTTGCCTGGTGTGCCGTGGGAGGGAGGCGGGAGAGGCAGCGCCCGAGATCGCTTCTCCCCACCGCCCCTTGCTTCAAAAGAGGTCCGAGATCGCTTCTCCCCACCGCCCCTTGCTTCAAAAGAGGTCCGGGGACAGCGGGAAGCGCTTCGCGCTGCCCCCGGACCTCTTTTGAAGCAAGGGGCTGCGGGGAGATCGCTTCTCCCGCTGCTCCGAAGCGGGGCGGCGGGAACACCTGCCCCAGCCGCCCCGCTTCGGAACACTGCTCCGAAGCGGGGCGGGGGGGCGGGAACACCTGCCCCAGCCGCCCCGCTTCGGAACACTGCTCCGAAGCGGGGCGGGGGGGCGGGAACACCTGCCCCAGCCGCCCGCTTCGGAACACTGCTCCGAAGCGGGGCGGGGGGGGCGGGAACACCTGCCCCAGCCGCCCCGCTTCGGAGCGCTGCTCCCCCCGCCGATGCCCCGATACCGGGCGGTGGGGCGGGAACCTCTCCCCCCGCCACCCGGCATCGGAACGATGCCCCGATGCCGGGCGGTGGGGCGGGAACCTCTCCCCCCGCCGCCGGGCATCGGAACGATGCCCCGATGCCGGGCGGTGGGGCGGGAACCTCGCACCCCGCCGCTGGGCATCGGAACGATGCCCCGATGCCGGGCGGTGGGGCGGGAAATCTCCTCTTTTAAATGCTAGCGGTGGGGAGCAAAGCCTTTCCCCCCCCTCCGGCCTTCAGAAGAGGTCCAGGAAGGCTGGCGGGGGCCGAAAGGCTTTGCTCCCCAGCGCCAGCATTTTAAAAGCAGTCCGGGATAGCAGGGAAGCGCTTCCCGCTATCCCGGACGGCTTTTGAAGGCAGGAGAGATCCGCGAAGCCTGGGCGCGCTGATGTCAGCGCGCGCAGGCTTCGGCATGCCGGCAAGTCTCCGCCAGCAGCGGCAGCGCTGCCGCTGCTGGCGGAGGGGTCTGCGAAGCCTGGGCGCGCTGCGCGCAGGCTTCGGCATGCCGGCAGGTCTCCGCCAGCAGCGGCAGCGCTGCC